ACCTTTCAAGGGATGTTCAATTTGCTACAAAGTGGGCTAAGAGAAGACGGGAATCCCCGAGAAGCAGTTTTGCTCCATGCAGCTTTTGAAAAATATCCACGTTCACGTTTCATGTGAATCTAGCCTGACCAGTATAACGTTAAATGTCAGAGGAAATTTAAGTGAGCCTGCTTTTCAACATCTTGGCTTTTCACTCTGAGTGACCTCCAGATTTGCTTCCACGATTGCCTCACATTCACAGTGAGCAACTTGGAGACACTCCTCCGCTTTGGCTCCACAGCTCGGGACTTCCTCATCAGCCACGGACGCAGCTGAACTTGCTCATGCCCCTCAAAGTATCGTCATACCAAAAAGCACAGAATTCACTGCGTGATGTAAACTTGACATTCCGCTCCTCATTTTTACTGGAAGAGTAATGACTTCCCTTTACTGGATTGGACCGGTCCTCACTGACATCTGCACTGAGTAACTACATTTCCACAAGCATTCAGTGACCCTGGAGTCATAAAGGCAGAGCAGAGCAGAGCTCCAGATGAACAGAGAGAAGGAGCAGGCCTCGTTTGGGGTTTCGGATTTGCCTCTGTTGTTCGTGTCCATCTCCGTTTGGCACTTGTCTGCCCCGTGTCTTGTTGGGCCATTTCTGGCAAATCTGCAAACCAACCAGAGGGCACCTGATTCTGTCTTTTTTCCAAACAGTCAGAGTGCCAAACAAGTGCTGCTGCCAGGGACATTGTTGAATAAAACTGTGTAACTGTTCACCCTGGAACCCAGGAATAAGATCATCGGCCTTTCGGGGCTTTGTTTGGAAGTGCCGGTCCGTGGAGCGCTCCCAGTAAGTGTTTAATGTGTTTCTGCAGTAGAATAGCAGCCGGGGTTTGGTGTCTGCACGGTAGCGTTTTACACAGCTAACAGCTGTTAAAGCCCAGCGAGCGAGGCTTTGCTCCAGCTTATGTAACGCAGCCGAGTGTTCCGTGTGGGAGTTTTCAGATCCGACCTGCAAACTTACCCCACAAACGTAAACAAACTTTGATCAATCACAAGGGAGAGAAAGAGCGCCGAGGCATGGGGAGGCGGGGGATCAGGTGCTGATGTGCATGCGTTTCCCTTTTTTTTACTGGGACCGAGTGGCCAGCTCACAACATCCGTGGGAGTGGGAGCGCTTTGTTCATCAAAAACCGACGAGTCCGAGCCTGTGCTCCGTCAAGCATCTGTGGAATTTGGCTCCCCGTCTTTCTCTCGTCAGCCCTGGTCCCAGTGCTGAGCGGTGGGCCTGTGAGGGCTTCAGCAGGTTCCCCCTCCACGCTCAAGCACTGCACTGAAAGCTTTTCTCTCCCTGAGAGAGAGCTGATTACAATGTTTAAAGAGAGATGGTCCTTGAAGCCCTCCTCTTTGTTTTCTTTGTGATTGTAGTAAAGTGGTAGTTGTACATCTTTACAGAGGGGTTAAGATATTCTAAGAATACAGCACAGAGACCGAGACCTCACACTTTTCAGCTGTCATTATGTCCAAGTTTTGGAACAAGACCTGTTCATTGGAGAATTAGCATGTAATTATTATGATTTGATTCAGTTCTGACAGTTATCTCATTATTTGAACTGTTTCAGTGACAGTTTTAGACTGTTACAGGATGTTGCAAAACTTTGTTGAAGTATTTTATTCATGTGTAGAAATTGCCACAGCATGAAACCTAAGCCGGTATGCCATCAATGCACAGGCAGCTTTACGGAGCAGCAGATGCAGGATAAAGTGGGCAGTATACGATGCATCTGACATCACCACCGCACTTCTGGAAAACCTCGTCACCGCTTTGAAAGAGGCATAAATCAAAAGCAGAACACTTTTCATTTAGGCTGTAACTATTCAAGGCTGGCACTGCTTTGATCTGTGTGTGTGTGTGTGTGTATGTGTGTGTGATTTAAGGAGGTGCGTTGCATTTCAGGGCCTCTTGGCTAGTTTGTTCTGAGCTGTAAATCTCTCCGTGTCTCCTGGTTTACTCTGCCCCATAAACTAGACAGCAATTATGGAAAACAACTGGATGCAAGATTTCTTCAATCCCACAAGATTTGCAGTTGCAGACTTGCAGGATGTTTCCGGCAAAGCACTTCCTTCAGGGCTGTTTGGACCCGCGCGCTGACCCCCGAGCTCAGCTTTCTGTCAAGTATCGATAAGACTGTCTCACAACACACCAATTTAGTAAAGAACAGCAGGAGAAAAAATCCTGCGTCAGACCTTGACCAGCAGCCATTAGGCTTTGCGAACTCATGATTTATTCATGTTATGTCAAACACTTACATGCATGCAACTCAGCATGACCTCCCCCAACTTACTCTAATAATGTCTAACTCTTACACAGAGACACAATTAAGATTTTGAACAAAAACACCGCACTATGCGTCCATCACTGATTTATCAGAGCCATTATAATCGATAATCCACTAAGCTTCTTTCTCAGTTCATTTTGGTCCGTATTATTTGCCTATTAGAAAGCCAAAAGCTTTAGTGGAAAGTTTCCCATTGGGGGAAATGGTACCTCATGCATATAAGCATGAGCAGCTTTGGGCTTCTTTGATCTCAGCCTGGCTGTGAACCCTGAATGGAGTGGGCCGGAGCTGCCGCTGCTCAGCTCTCCCTGCCTATTTGAACCATTTACATAATTGTTAGAACCGTCCAGGTCGGCAGAGCAAGGCATTTGGTAAAGATTGGATTAAAGGCAGGAGGAGATGCCAGAGGGCCTCTGTGGATTTCGGAGAGATTTGTGTTTAGAACTGAGTGAGTTTGAATGTGTGTCGATAGTTTCCATTGACAGAGCGCAGAAGTGGCAGCCGGTGCTGCTGGACTGCCCAGGTATCGGATGGGATGAGCCCATGTTTTTGATCCCTCGTGCAGACATACACGTATCAATGCTCTGACAAATTACCCATGTAATCTAATCTTTTTTTATTTTCTACTACTGTGAAAACAGCTTTCCGAACCCCTATAGGCACTCAGTTAAATACATCTGATCATAAAACATTTCATTTGCTTCTAACCGGTTTCTGTATCTACAGTATTCCATCAGGAGCCAGTGGGAAGAATCCTCTTGGTGCTTTTACGGAAACTTATTTTTTCAACTGCACAGGAGCATTTCCAGTGATTGAAAGCAAAGCATATAAGGAAGAAAGAGAAAAACACACCAATTCTTAACAAGTGGAACGGTTTTTATTGTAAAAGCAACCCTTAAAGATCAATGTGTGGGTTTGTATTTGTCTTTTCCATCTGTATCCTACTTATGAGCATTCGGATGTGCATGATTGCAATATGAGGAAAATTAAAGAAGTGACCCAATATGTGTTCTTAGCTGGTCTGATCCATTTTTTATTTATTTCATAAGATAAATGTGAACAAATGGCAACAAGACTGAATAATTATATCAGCAGTGTTTAAGCTTTGTCTGTGAGGTCTAACATATGTGAAAACCCTTTATTTAATTCCACCTGAGTCTCTCATCCTTTGGTTGAGCACGTAGGAAGACTTTGTCTCTCTCTGGTTCTATTTATAGTCGTAAATGCCGTGGCGTGCTTCAGTGTTTTATGGTCTTGAGAATGTTTTATGAGTCTTTGGGGTGTTTATGCACAATGAACAGATGGGGTCAGAAGGGTGAAATCAATAGTGCACCTTAATGAGGTTGTCAGAAAAGGAAGGAGGGAGGGAAAGGCTGGGACGAGTGGGGTTGTACAAAGGCTAACGTCATGTGTGGGGGAAGAGGTTCTTAAGCCCTCTCAGGAAGGTGTGAGCAACTGGTTCAGCCTTTGGAAAAATCAATAGAAATGATTCATTGTTATGTTTTTATTTGCAATATGTGGCTGTGATTAGTAATCCGCACATCACTCAGACAGCAATCGAATAAGTGGGAAAAAATATTCAAGGCCTGATGGTCTTCTGAGGGCACGTTTGGACAGGACATTTGCAAGGAAAAACCTGACCCCCCCCCCCCATTCCACCGAAATGCCTATTATGCTTTGGGCTCATCAGCCCAGCCTTATCTCTCTTCTCCGAGAAAAGAGTTGTAACCTATTTGTTGCATAACGATAATGTGACATATGCTGTCTTGTGTGTGAGAACAACAACACGGGTCCGTTCCTCACATGCTGTGCTGCTTTCATTTGCTGTTGGGAGAGATAACGCACACCTTTTGGCTGTGCAAACTCATCCTGTTACCGCCAAAACTCAGAAGCGGAGGTTTGGGCACGGGCCGGAGGTGCTGCTTCTTTGTAAAGTCCCCTTTTTTTGCATGAATTGCTGTCCAATTGTATCTTTTGCATGGGCTCGGGCTGCGTGTGTGTGCTGTAACGTGCTGGGAAACAGCTGTGCGCAGACAAGTACACAGCTGACAAAACGCACGTCAGCCCACAGTCGTCCTCCAGGGATTAACTAGTAAAGTGGCGAGAGGTGGAGTTTATTTCAGTGTAGGAAGAAAGAATGGCAAATAAATGCTTTAAAGCATCCACTCGACATATTCTGAATAGTTTAGGATCACCACCAGCAACCCTCTGCACTGAAGTTTGCTTTTTCTCTCTGATGCTCATGCCTATCCCACTTTTTGTAAAGGTCCCACTTACGCCACCAAAATATCTCCAACTAGTCAGGATGCTGGAATGTGATCTGAGGATGTTGGCGGTAGATAAGCTGGGTTTTGGGGGGGGGGCTGTGGGGCAAATCTTTGCTTTCAACAGATACCATTAGAGTGACATCTGTAGAGTCTTGAGGTTTGGTGAACACCGGTTCTTTGGATACCCTCTGAAGGTTCTTACTTTGTCCTGGTGGTGGCCACTGTAGGGGTGTCGGTGAAATATACAGGCACATTATATCTGATTTAGCCTGTTACTTACTTTTGGTTCCATTACATGTTTACAACTTTTTTTCTTTGCAACAGGACATCCTTTCCACCTTACCTGTTTAGTTTTTTTTGCCTTCATCGAACCTAACCACTACAACCTTTTTCTTCTTCTTTCTTTTTTACAGAGCACCTTACTTGCCCCCGGGGCCCTGTAATCAATGGCAACCTCCGTCCAGACTCTTCCTCTGACACGTGGCCCCAGCAAAAACTTCCACCACCCTCCCCCCGCCTCGCCTCTGTCCCCCCGCTGCAGCATGGGAAGCGTAGGCAGCCTGGTGGAGAGGCCGAATGGCTCCCCGACCAAAGGGAGCCGCGCGGTGCCCCAGGTGAGACCCAAGCAGACCAACGGCCTCATAAAGAAAGGCATCAGCCAGAGAGAGCTGCTCAACTACCTCAACATCACCAGGTGGGGATTGTAATATGAAGTGTTTGGAGACAGATGCTCTGGTGGAAGTCTCTGCGTGACCTCTGACCTGTTGTGATTCCAGCAGAAAAGAGACTAAGGCAAACGGAAGCGGTGAGGGCAAGAGGGACATCATCGATGGCCGGGAGGAGGACGACGTTTATGCAAAAGTCTATAATAAAGATGGCACTGAAGTAGATCTGACGAAGAACTCACTGCCGAGTGGGGGCAAGTATGAAAAGGTGAATATATCCTATAGAAAAAACAGATGAAAATGGGCCTTTTGGCCTGCCGTTACACACTGAACAGCGGAGGACATAGGGCAACTTAATTCAATCAAAGTATTCTTTGAAGCGAGTAAGTGAGTTTCGGAGGAAGGGGTGGCTGTTCTGTTCTTTTTCTTAGAAATGATATACAGTCATTGAAAGATGGCTGGGGCTGGGGTAAATTGATCACATTCATACATCTTCAGCAGAGTGATGCAACACCCGCATAGTTGTTACGGGCATAAATCAGCCTCGGATGTCTTTCAGCTCACCGGCGCGGATTGAAAATCTGTCACTTGATGTGCTCTCAATTTATTGCAGCGGTCAAATATCACCTTTTCTCTGCTCCAATTGATCAGAGCTAAGAACACGGCGGGAGCAGAGGCACTGATTTAATAGAAACCTTGTGATTTATGTCACAGAGGCCGGCCTGTCTCCTTAAGTGGAATGCCTTTCACATCCTCTGGAGAAAAAAAAAAAGGGCCTTATGTCTCACTTGGGTCTCGCTGCTCCCTCTCCAGGTTCGTTTCAGGTCTGCTTTTAAACCCGTCACTCCCAAAAACTTCAGCTCCATGCAAAACCTCTTTCCGAGTTCTAAGTCGGAGGACGTGGATCACGGCCTTTCCAACGGACTGCACAGAGCCTACGCCCACGTCCCCAAAGCCGTCTCCTCCTCCTCCTCTTCTTCCTCGCCATCCCGCCATGGAGGTCCGACATCAGGCGGCAACAAGGTAACCGAACGCGTGGTGAGGACGTTAAGCCCTCATGCATGTTCTGTGAGGTGATGGCCATGATGTTTAACTAAACACAGAAGAAATTAATCCGTTTTTTGTGTCGATGGCAGACAGGAAAGAGTTCTACTGATGATTTTTCAGCCATTATTTAGCAGCTGTGTAACTGTGACTGTTCAGGTCCTCTCTTCTGTGCGCGTGATGAGCCAGGAAGATGATAACCTGTCAGACTCGGGCCATAACTCCATGAGCAGCCTGCCGCCGTACCGCCCTCCTTTCCGCCCACACCTTTCACACATCAGGTCTGCTTCTGCACCAGCGTTTCCGTAGCTCGTTTTTTCTTAACGACTGCGTGGGTGCTGATCATTTTCCTCCTCTTTTTTAAAAAATGATTTGGAACGGCAGCGCGTCGATGGGGCAGATCAACACCATCGGCTCTCTGGACCGCACGTCCGCGGGCGCCAAAGCGGTGGGGTCAGGGGGCGTGGCCATAGGGGAGATGGCGTGCCGGAGCATGGCCACTCTGAGCCGCCTGACCCCGTACGGAGGGGAGGCCCCGCCTCCTTATGAATGGACGCTGTCCCTGTCTGTGGAGGACGTGGTGAGCGGTGGGGTGAACATGGGGGGAGGGGGGGGGACGAGGAGGTCGGGGTTTCGCCAAGTCATTCACGCCGGTGTCTTTTCCCCAGGTGCGAGATCTGGAGGAGCGGCTGGTGGAAAAGGAGCACGAGCTCAAACAGATGAAAAGAAACCTGGATGAGAGTGAGGGCGCAATCGCTCAGGTCAGTCCCGTCTCCCGGTCAGCATCTCACCGGGCGCCCATCCGCCTTCCCTCTGAAGTCTGACCCCCCCCCCCCCCGCCCCGCCTCGCCGCACGCAGGTGTTCGAAGGGAAGCAGCGCCTGTGGGAGAAGGAGGTGGAGGACCTGAAGCGCTTATACGCCGCCAAGCTGCGGCAGGTGTCCCAGCACGCCCAGCGCTCCCAGCGCAGCCTGCAGCTGGAGCTGTTCAGGGCCCAGCAGGAGAAGAGCCGCCTCCAGGAGGAGCTCGGCCTGAAAAGGGGAACGAGCCAAGGCGCCGCAACCTTGCCAAAGCCCACCAGCCCCACCCTGGAGGAGACGCAGTGGGAGGTGAGGCTTTTGAAGGCTCCCCGGCGTGGAGGTATAATGAACAGTACAAGATTTACCATGCCCCCCACTTTGCCGTCGGTCCGTCTTTCAGGTGTGCCAGAAGTCGGGGGAGATCTCCTTACTGAAGCAGCAGCTGAGGGATTCCCAGGCAGAGGTGACCCAGAAGCTTAGCGAGATCTTCCAGCTGAAGACACAGCTCAGGGAAACCCGGACGGAGCTGCGGAACAAGGAGGCCCAGATAGATGCCCTGAAGCTGGTCGTGCAGGGGACACAGCAGGGCAGGTGTCCCTCTCAGAGCGGACGAGAAGACGGGAAAGGAGCTGAAGAGCACCAGTCAGCTGGAGCTACAGGTATCCGACCGCCACACGATAGGGCTTCTGCAGCAAAGGACAAGTCTGTAAAAGCGTATGAAAATAAAGAGGGAAAAATACACAGACATAGAAAAACATAATAAGACTGAATTTGCTGAAATAAGTAACATGACAAAAAGAAGTATAAGTGTATGTTTTTATGAGGCCTTGTGTTCATTCTTGGCAAATTAACTTTCCATTGTCCTTTTATACCCCCTCAAATCTTTCTTATTTACATATTACTTATTATTTCTTTTAAATCTCTGAATTTCCGAAATCCAAAAGATCTGATTTATCATTTATTTAATCCCAACGGCTACTCAAACCAGCATTTTAAAAGTATAAATAGTAAAGCTGTCAAATATTCTTTGGCTTCATTACATCTAAAAGACATCAGCAAAAAAGTTTGTGTGCTCCTTTGAACACACTACATTTCAGTTCTGACCCAGAAAACAGCTGGTTCTGTGACCTAAATGGATATCCAAGCTTCAACCCATTGCCACTACTTATAGATATTGCACAAGTGATTGTTAAGATTCAGAATTTGAATCGAAATATTCCTTTAACTTTTTTAAATTGTGTCTTACTGTACTTTGAGCTCAGGAGGAAATTATAGAAAATTAAAACAAACTCTGAATTAAACACTGTAGCTCACCTTGTGGAAAAAGCTAAGAATAAATGGAAATAAAGCGTGTGGGGATTTTTTTTTTTAAATAAACAAATGGGATTATAGCAAATGGAAAGCATTTGTTTTCCACACTTTCACATAAAAGACAAAAACACTTTCGTGTTTCGGTTGTTTCGGTCAGCTAAGCCGTGCTGTGCTTGAGTAAACAGTGTGGTGCTTTCTAAGTTGGTTTCAGACAGCAGGGGACTTGTCTGGGTTACTTTTTAAGTTGTGATGTTTCCCAGTTTAGATCCAAAACCAGGTTATTCCAGTAACCAGGCCATGAGCACAGCTCTCTGATCATCCGACAGTAGCCAGCGTCTTTCATTACATCCCCCCCCCCTGGCTGGACTGAAGCGGAGGCTGTGTGAACTCTTTCTGTGCAGGAGGCTACGTGGGACCTACGGAGGAGCGCCTGCGTGCGGAGCTGCTGCTGGAGCGGCGGCAGAGCGAGGCCCAGGCCCTGGCTTTTGAGGAGGAGAGGCACACATGGCAGACGGAAAAGGACAAAGTCATCCGCTACCAGAAAGAGCTGCAGGCCAGCTACCTGGAGATGTACCACCGCAACGAAGCCCTGGAGAGGGAGCTGCACCAGCTGAGGGCGGGGGGGGAGCAGGGGGGCGGGGGGGGGGGGGGGGGGAGGGCCGCTGGAGAGGGAAGGGCTGGAGCCGAGGAGCGACAGAGCGGGGGAAAAACAAGGGGACACGCCTTCCTCCAACGTGCCGTGGATAGAGAGGATGGAGTCATCTGAAATTTGAATGTCGTTTTCCAATGCAAAGTGTTTTCATCTGAAGCAGCTGTGGAAGGGCCAGCCTGCCAGCAACCGAAAAACAACCACTTACCACACATAAATACCATGAGATAGACATAAGATGAAATGTACAACAAATGTATCACTGATACTGACTGAAGACTGACTGACCGTGTCAGAATCGCTTTTGCAGTCAAAAGATGAGATTGTTTGTCCAAAAAAAAAAGTATAAAAACCTTTTTTGTCAAAATGATGAGATAGAATGCCCAACACGCGTGGCAAGAATGTTTCTGATCTTACACTTTACCAACTAAAGCAACCCCAGATCATAACTCTGCCTCCGTGGGGGTCGGCTGTAGGCACCAGGCATCATCCTCTGCTCATCTAACCCTGTTACATCTATTCCCATTGCTCCGGAGTACTTTTAAGGAAACTGACCCAGTTTTCTTATTTATTTATTGTTTTGAGCCTCTCTTAAGAGTGGTTTTATTAAGGCTGCCCAGCTGATGAGTTGTATACTATAGGTACCTTGTTGCATTGTGCATGTGGAAATGCTTTTATTCCACCTCTGAACTTCTTTTTTTCTCTTCCTGTGCACCATCGTTGGCAGATTAGTTTCCCTATATTGCAAAGACTACACTCCTCCTGCTCACAATCACACGGAGGGCCACTTTACAGAAGTGCTCCATATTTATACCCAGCAAAAGAACTGTGTCAGTTCTCTATAATTAAAGCTGAGAACCTAAACTGTCCCAGTTAAGACTCCTGCGAGAGAGTAAACTTGTCTGCTAACGCTGACCGTATTTCTCACATCGGTACAGATGAAGGGTCCTCAAAGTCACCAAATCATATGTAGACAGGTTGTTCACTCACCATTTAGCTTCCGTATGCGTAAAGACAGATCTATCTACGGTTATCGGCCTCTGCGAATAAGGTGCCATTGGTAGCCGTTCTTTACCTTTTGAGAAAACCGTGAGCCCTGAACTGAAAAGGCTGGACTCCTCTTACTCATTCCGCCTCCGTTCAGTTGAGATTTTTGTAAATAGCTAATTCTTTGGCCATTTTTTGTCTCCAAGCCCACTGTTGTCTTAAACCTGTGTACTTTCACAACTTTTGATCGCACTGTGCTGTACATGCCCAAATGCATAAGAGATGTTCTATTGTGTTGTTAATAATATACGAACATTCAAAAACCAGCTAACTATTGACCTTTCTACATACTGTGATCCATGTCTATTTACTGGAATTAAAGCTGTACAGTATAAATATATCTGTTTTGTATTCTTTGTATGTTTATGTAGAGTTCGGAAATCATGTCTGAAGGCTTTTCTGTGCTGTTAAATCTAAATTTAAATGTTTGAATGCTGGAAATCCAAGTCAAAATGCTAGTGATGGCATTCATCAAAGGCTCAGACGCCCGTCTGCTGTGAAGAGGCTCAATCTCTCTGCAGAGCACGGCTAAAACCCAAAGAGAGAGGGGTTTTACGGCGGGCTGAGCAGAGAGGCATAAGCTTTTGGGAGTCGTGTGGCTTTTAGAGGTTTAGCCTTGGATCCTTATCTCGGCCTCTCCCTGCGACTCACCCCGCTCAGCCCTCACATACCGGCACCACAGAGGGTCAGCTCAGAGGGAAACCTAGGCGGATCCTTGTTAGCCCACCAAACAAACAAGCGCTCCTATAGAGCCCCTCTAAACTACTAAGATGGAGCATAACACCATGGAAATCGTGGCTTCAAAACTAATAGCCACTGTGCATCAGAATGAAAGAAATGAAAACAAGCATGAAAATAGTACAAAGAGAGGAAAGCAGAGTCAAGTTTATGAAGCATGTTTATCTGTTATGCAGGGTCATAATCTGAGCAGATATGAGCTCGGCTGACTCACACAGCCCTTACCTTGGCATTTAAAGCATTATATAAACTGGGGCTTAATATAACTGCACAGCTCCAGAGAGGTTGAGTGATTTAGTGAAGTGGGATGAGAAAAGACTCTTATCGCGCATGTTCTCACTCTGTGGGAGTGTTGCAGCTCTGAATTCCATCAGTGCTGTTTATGCGAAGAATTAACCTGATGCTGGGATGCGAGTGAATAATTCATGGTTAAAAAAATAGCCCCTGCTTTTGAAGCTAATAATTAAAAGCTGAGGTTTTTCAACCTGGAGGCTGTTTAGTTTAGTTTGACAGTTGAAAATGAGGCACCAGTGCCACCAAGTGGTAGTGAAAGAGGCCCTCAGAGCAGGAAAAGCCCACCAGCAAACGCCAGCGCTCCCATGCCAAGCTCACTGGAGTATAAACTTTTATTTTTAATATCAGATGCAGGTATATGAAACATGTTAGGGGGTCACTATTTACAGTCAAAGTTGCATAACACATATAAGCTGGTAATGCAAACATTCGGTGAAATGAGGAGAGGAGCACAAGGCGCTAGCAGTCTACCTGAAGCGACACTCAAAGAAGCAAAGAACGATTGTCAACCCAAGAGAGAAAAGAGAAAGCTCAGCTCACTTCCAAACAGAACAGGCAGTTTGACGCGGTCAATCGGAGACCCGAATAAAGCGCTGGTCTTTGAGGAGCCGTGAAACTGAGTGGCATGCTGCATGGAGGCGAGCCACGCTGGCGCAGTGCCCGTCCAAGCTGCTTACCTCACCCCTCAGTGAGGTGACATCACCATTTTCAACTTTCACCATCAGTACCCACCATCTACACGAGATACATCCAACTGCCTGCACTCCTTATTTATTTCCAAGTGTGAGATGACATTAGTACTGGGAAATGTTTACAATCTTCGGCAACTCCCACGAATCCCAGTCTCCTTAGTGAAGTGTGTGGAACTGTTCATGACTTCTTATACAAATGTACGGCTTTAAATACTAAATGCAAAGTGTGGCATGACGTGTTACCATGAACCCTGAGCAAATGTGTGGATTTTATTGTTGCTATCCTGACCTTAAGCTGCAGAGGCATCTTTAAGCAGATATGAAACAATAGCCACAATGATCAGAAGACTTCCCCATCTACAATATGTAAAGCTTTGTCACGAGCCCACAGTCACTGCAAGTCTTACTATAAGGCTACCACACCGATTTACATCTTCAAACCACATGGCGTGCTAGCTTAAGGTACAAAGACTGAAGCCATGGCACAAGTGATTTGAGTCATTACTTCTTAGAGTTATAGAGTAGAGTTGATTACACTTCTTTTTTCAGTACTTCTAATTTACACGAGGTGGTTTGGATGAAAAATCAGAACAGAACACATTTCACAGTAGTGTGTGTGTGGGTGTGTGTACATATATATATATAAATATATATACACACACACACAGATATATATGTATGTATATATATGCTTTTTTCAGGTGTGTTAAATACATAGAATGAACAAGACAAATGGCTTCTACAATAAGGAAAAACTTCTTGCTGGTGCACTCAGTCAGAAAAGTTTTTTTTTTTTTTTTTAAACAAAAACACAAAGCTTTTCCACCCCTGATGAACAGATGTGACTTTCAAGCTACGCGAGGCCTTTATTACAAGATGGTGGAGAAATGGGTCACAATCAAGAGTTCAATTCAAGGTACACGTCCACGCTTCCACTTCCCTTTACCAGCAAGTAGAAAGCCTACCATGCCGTTTGCTACTCTGTAGGTTTCACCCGCGTAACAGAGGCTGCCTATTACCATTCTGAGGGCAGAATCAGACAGTCTACCCCATTTACTCAAGCTCTACACCCACCCACAATCAATCAACTGCTTCTCTTGGGGAAAAAAAGGAAAGAAAAATAGAAACAGTCGTCCAACTCAAACAGTCAATAAAGCCGCGAGAAACAAACACTAGAAAGTATTACATACTCTGAAAAGATAAGCCTATACTCCGCAGGCATTTGCAAATGAGTTTGGTTGAAAAATCCTTTTTCACAGGTACTCCTTTGTGACGATGTTCTGACCGACTCTTCGCTCTCAACACAGGCTGTTGTTGGACCATCCTTCGAGAAAAAATTAAGTAAAGTTGAGGGGTCCAAGGTGGGTAGCAGGATGGCCATGGCTGTCCAGAGGAGCACTGGGATAAAATCTTGATGCTTACAATATCAGGCCAAAAGGCCAGGGACAGAGGAGAGGGTCCTGGAAACAGAAACGGCTCCAGGTAAACTTCATCCTTATTGAGGAGAGTGTGGTATCAAAAGTAGATCTGCTTTGCATGTGACGGGTTCTGCTCCATGGGGCAGTACGGGCATTTCAACCTGAGGGGAAAGAGAGGATGAGCGGACGTCACCAAAGAGCCAAGGCGCACCGCATTCTATCGAGGTCAGCAGAGAGCCTTCAAAATAACGGAGAGCTGTTTTGTCGACTTACTTCCCAGCATTAGTAAGTTTGTTGAGAGCATCTCTGGAGATGACATGGCCGCAGATGAGCTTCATGGGAGGATTGCTCTCTGAGGTCTGCTGCCGAAGGATTGGGCAGGCGAACACCGAGTGATACCAACACTTTTTCCCCAGATCGATTTCAATCTGCGTGTACAAACACAGGTGACATGAACCGAGCCCTCCAACACTATGAAAAAGAGTCACCAGCGCTGTGTGACGACTCACAGGTAGTTCATCTTTGTGCGTCCAGACGCCGCTGCACTGCCTCTGCTCGATCACCTGCTTGATGTTCATCAGCACTGGTAAGGCCATGCATCCTGACGCAAAACTGAGAGCACACAAAGGATGGCAGTGAGAAAATAAATTGATTTTAAAAGGAAACCAAAGACACTGACTTGTTGACTGTCCACGTTTCTCTGACCTAACACTTAGTGGAGACTCCACAGAGAGGCCCAGCAAAGCACAGGCATCCCTAGTAAAGATGTTGCAGATCTCAGCCCACTGATTTGTCTCCAACAGGCTCCGATACGGCGAGTTCTCGATGCCATGGCGTAGATAAACCAGGCTGCCCATCAATATCTGGATGTCTGAAATGAAGTAAAGAAAGGAACAAAAGGCACCTTAGCAGTTTTCTGAGGGCTTTAACTGCCTTAAAGACACTTTCATTCTCTTAAACGAGCAGAGTCTACATAATTGGGATAAACTGAACAAAAGGAGTCAGTATGAGTAGCTTTTGATGTTGGTCAACATGATTTTACACGTGCCTCTCTGATGCTGAGAGGCAAAGGGCTGGAAGTGCCGGGCATACTGCAGGGCCTCCATTTGGTTGCTTATTCCTCCACTGAGCAGACTGATGAAATACAGGCGGTGCAGCTTGAACTCTAAACTGCTGTTCAGGTCCAGAAGACGCTGGCGATTTGTGACGGCCCATCTAAGGAGCAACAGAAAAAAACAAGGACGGTCACCTATTGTGTGAAAAGGCACCATTAATCACATTCAATCACTTGTGTTCAAACTAAAGAGAAGGCCTGAGATTTATTTTCAAAACAAGGACTTGTTGGGATGATTATAAACAGGTGATATTCAGACACAAATCAGGTATATTCACGTGTTTAAACACACAACATACTCTAACGCTGGCCCAAGGTCCTGCATCCTAAGAGCTTCAAGGATCCTGTTTAGTTCCAGGAAAGGCTGCTTCATACTCATGTCGATAACGACTCCAGACTCCTGAAAAGCAGAGAAAAAATATAAAACCCTTCCCATAATCAACAGTTATTAGCTTAAATTTCTTAACAAAAAAAAAAAAAACACAATGGCTGACACTGGTTTGGATAGAAGGGTCCATTTGACTCCGTTATTATCAGCAAAAAGCCTAACGCCCACCAAATTTTGTGCCTCATTTATTCCCCTTTGCTAATCCACATGATTAAATCTGATGAAACAAAATCACCGTAACCATGGACATCAGGTCACAACCTCTTACCTGACATAGGTCCTCTGCCACACTGAGCATCCCTTGCCTGTACAGGTGCTCCACAATGGTCTCACTCAGGTATTTCTGTCTCTCTGGGGTGTCCCACACCGTCTCTGCCACTACAGCACTAATTTCTGCATCAAAGTTCTGCAGAGGAATGCCACAGATGAAGCACATGCATGCCCAAACATAGATCTTTACAGGTTACAGAAATGCCGTCTGTCCTTACCCTGTCAATGGCTTTGCCCACTTTTGACACACTGCCATGGATGTCTTTATGCCGTGAAGCAAGCATCTGCACTGTTTCTTTGATATTCTTACAACACTGTGCCATAGTCTGGGACAGGACGGATAAATCTGCATCTTGTACTCCTGTCAGACAGCAGATAGAAAAAGATAGCGTTACACATCCATAATATTCAATATACAGTTCTGGAGAAGCACATAAAGGCCACATTTCATTTGGTATTGTAATCTTTTTTTTTTTTTTTACATTTAAAGAATTCAGCTGGCTTTTAAATATGGAATATTCTTACCAAAGGCAACTAGCTGTCCTCGTATCTCACAGACACTGCGCAGGAGTTCATCTAGCCTTTCTTCAGACTGGTGGCCATACATTACAAAGCGATGGAGCACTTTTTCCAGCTCCCGCTCCACACATGCACACTGTTCCATAGTGCAGGCTGGAACACACACACACACACACAATGGCAAAACCTGGATTTACAGAAACAGAAGACACAAGTCAACTCGGGGAATAAAAGAATCAGCAGAGAACCTACCTGATCCCAATGGCTATTTTAATGCTCTAACAAACTCTGACAGTACACAAAAAGAAGGGGGAAAAAACGAAATTATGAAGGATTAAGTTCACCTGTGTTTTTCATTCAAATTTTATATTCTATTGTGATTCCAACTTTAATAACAAGAGAATAAAAATCAAATTTAAAAATACAAATAAAAAACAAAAAGATTACCAAGCAACAAATCAGCCATTTACAAATATGCTGAATCTTAATATCGCCCACCTTTTTCTATAAGATTAAACTACACTTCTCACCGTCACGGTACGTTAAAGGACACCTGACAAAATGGTAATTTTTGCAGTTCTTTTTCTATTTGTCACAATCAGCTGGTACAGCCCTTAAAAGTTTAGCATAGTGTAGAACTGCTAACAACTAGCAAGGCCTGATGAATCTTACATGCAAACACACAGTGCGTCCCGCGGCCTGCTGTTTACCAATGTCTCAACTACGGGAGGCAGGAACAACATCACCATCTAACATTTGAAAGTGTTTTGCTTTAGAGCCCTGATCGGCCAGGAGGTACGGCAACTTTGTTTTAAGAAAGTTTCGAGAAGGACAGTACCTGTGTATTTACTGTAACTCACCAATCCTAAGAAGCGGCGTACAGAAAATGTCCACCTACTATAAAGAGCTAACCAACATAAACGCTCAAACCGGTCATTTCTATCCCTACACAGAAATGTCACGTTTAGCAATTACTTACAAATCTATAACGATTAAACATATGGTGTGCCACAGCTTGCCAACCGGATATTTTGATTCGGTGTCGTAATTTAGATAATTAATGGGATGCATCGCTAACATAAACAAACGGTACCATCGTCGCTTTCAGGCTACAAAAGCCCCTCACAGCTAGATGCTAGTTGGCTAGTAGATGTTAGCCTGCTGTTAACTAGCAAGGCCCAAGCTATTTGCAGAGAGGATGACAACCCATACATATTAATCATTTTGCATTACTCAAACATTTCGAACAGCTATCAACGTTCAACTAAAACTGTGTGATATTTGTTAACCAGAACACTCACCTATCCTCTTAATTAGTTAGCAAACATTAGCGTTAGCCACTTGCCTGTTATGGCAACACCAGCAGCCGTAATGCGGAACTTCCGGTGTCGCACTCTGCGCTAACTGGACACTTCAAAAATAAAACAAGCGCTCGGAACTCTCAGAAGTTTCCCATTATAGATAATAATTTGTTGAGCTCGTATGTTGCATTTGGCAATATGTTTTCTGCTGAACCTATTACCTTCTAGGGCATGTTAGTTACATAAGTCCTGTAAGGTCCTAGTTATGTAATTATTACTGTCTCCAATTTGTTGGCGTAAAAAAGTGCAATGCATCTATTTTGAATGCAAAGGAGTAAACATGGTAAGTGATTTATAAATATATATATATATAACAAATTGGTAATTTAAAAAAGATTGACATGTGAGCTTAGGTTTATATTTCTATTGTAAAATATGCTAGAGCGGTCATAACTCATCACAGGAACTATTTAACATCCTGTCCAACAGATTTGGTTGCAACAAGAGCCAATAGCTGTAGAGCATATTCAGCACCAAATTATATGTTTAGCTTCACATGTACAGAAACATTGTAGCAGATAGTCTTTGGCATTTGTATGTATTTGTATGGACACTGAACATCTATGTCTTGGAAAATATTTTTTTGTTTTTAAAAAAAAACAAAACAGAAATTAGCTCGACAGGCAGAATATTCTTCATGCTGAGCTTATTTGCTTGAGTGTGATCGTGGGTAAAGTTTGGGACAGGGGCAGCCTGGTGTGACTAATCTATCAGTGATTTAGACAAGGCACCCCATTGCTGAGGTGCACATCATTCTTTCCCTATGAGCTGTCCACCCGTCTGCTGTGCTGACTTAACCACACAGGCTCAAAGATAGTAACATTTATGTCTCCACTTAATTTCTAACAGCCACTTATCCAACACACTGATCAGCTTTATTTTAAATACCACTGTTGGAAGAGCCTATGTTTTACAGATAAGCATGAACAATGTGTGAGCATAATCTAATAGTGCATATCAGTTTACGACATGTGCCAGGGTTACCATGGGATCTATCTTTTCCGTTAAATCCAGTGGCATCATAGTGTTAAACATTGTTTCGAGTCTCCAAACAGCAACCTACAAACAGTGATGGTACAAAGGACAGATGCTGTTAGAAATATCTACATGGCATATAAACTGACTTGAAGGATATGTTTTACTGTCCCGTTCAATCAGAAAATGGATGTATGTGTACCAAAATACATTATTAGTTGTTAACCTTTTAAAGATGAGAAGATCAAATCCATTTTCCAGTGGATGTCCCTTTCGTGTCTCTTAATGACAGAGAAATAACTGGTAATCACATGAGGTATAACGATAGGCCCAGAGGGATTATCTGAACTCTCTGCTGTCAAATATGTCTGGTCATTGTCAGCATGGATCAGAGGGTTCTGCTTTTGGCACTGTGATTTGAGAAGGTAAATCATAAATTATAAATAGTTTATAATAAGTCTATCCTTTAATAAATGATTAGCAAATATGTCAGAGCATCTCACCATAAAAGTTTTGCAAGCTAAGCAGTTTTCATATGAGCTGTTATGGTAATTTGGTCAGCGTTAACCTTTGACCTGCTCTCCGACCACAGCTTATCGTTTACACATGATGCCTAACATAGACAAGTTCAAGCAAGTGTAGTTTCACCAAACCCCTCAATCTCGTGTACAACCTCACATCCTGCAGCCAAGTGGCCGGTGTGTGTGTGGCTCTACGAGCTCAGCATTCACCCTTTCTTTTCCCACCAGCGTGGCCAGGCAAAATGCTAAAGCCACGTTTATCTGGCTCTGATAATATGGGTCTATATATAGAGAAGCCCTGTGACTGAGATGGCTCTAAGTGTCAGATTCCAGGCGCACTCCTCTGTCCTGGCCCGATCAGCACCTGCTGCTAACTATAAACCCACCCACCCCCAGTGAGGTACCCCACCCGGACTCAGACAGAAAAGCCGATGCCTGACAAAACCGCAGTCTGCAGAAGAAAAAGATACAGGCTCCATGCAGTAAGTGCTTTCCCTGATGCCAGCCCAGAGGGGCGGGGCAGAAATAGAGATGAGAGTGTTCGTGGATATAATGTGTCTGAGAGAGACCCTTCTCTTTGCTCTTTCTATTCAAGTCTGACACATGGCATTGCCTTTGCCATCCTGACGCTGTCCAGTCAGTGTGGCACTGGCAGACCTGGCTGTGCACAGTGGGTCAGTTCTGAAAACGGCATTAGATCGGAATCTTTTCGACTTGGAGTCTTCTACGGATTTAATAGGCTGTTCATTGGATGAGGGGAAGACATTGCAACACTAAAGAATTCAATGCTACTGACGGATTGTCACTGGCAGCCAAAGGTACAGTTGCAGACGTTTGGTGTTTTTCTTCTATACATAGACCTTTTTCTGCTTCTCTGGCCAGCTCCTCGTGTAGACCTTTTAGATGGAGGTTAAGTTTCACTTAAGTCTTTCTGTCTGAATGCAGCAGAAGTTTTCAGAGCACATGTGGAATTTCTGAATGTCTGGCACACAACTAAAGATTTCCTGTCAAGTTAAAGTAGATGTTTGAACATCTTTTTGTTTGAATTCCATGCTGTCTTCTGCTTTTAAATAAATATTGTTAAATAATAGTTAGATAAATACTTAATCAGATACATACATTGCAAGATTGAAATGTATAAACCTTTAGCTTCTGACTGATGTTTATCAGATGTTTGATAATATTAATAATAATGAATGAGACACACATCCTCCAGATGACTTTGTCTTATTTCTAGTGCAGGAACAGACCCCAGGGCAGACTTTAGAATCAGCCTGGACTGACCACGGTTAGCCTTTGGAGCTTGTGGACTAGCAATGGACAGCTGGACTCTCCAGGGGGACAGCTACTCTTTCCTGCGCAGCGCGCCACGCAACTTTTCCCTTTGCCATCGAGACGGCACCCCTAACCACGTTGAAATCTTCGACATTATTAACGCCCCCACTCAGCGCAGCGCCATCTCTGAGACCACCTGCCTGTGTGACATTTTTGGAGACGACTGTGAATCACAATCCCTCTCAAGCAGCCCCGCTGTAGGCACATTTGTTCCTTCCCAGAAGGTGGTAGAAACAACAGCGGCTGCCTCACCAGCTGCAGATGATTTAAATGATTCCTCTGGCTCCTACCACACTGCCTGTGGATCTAGTGAGGGAGAGGAGGGATTTGAGGATTCAAGAGACAGGAGTTGCAGCCTTTCACCGCTAAACGGGGCTTCAGACAGAAGGCAGTCGGAGGGAGAGGGACAGGGAGCAGAACATCCACAAGTCTGCGAAAACAGAGTCCCAAATTTAGAACCACAAAGCAAATCACCAATATTTCCAACTGGGACACTTACCACCCCATCAGAAGTCTGCAGCAGCGGAGAGAGGACACCCTCTCCTGGACGCGACAGCTTCAGCACCCTCAGTCCAAACGGAAGACTATCATCATTGTCTTCCTCCTCAGCTGAAAAAACACTTTTGTCAACAGCCGAAACAAAACCAATCCATTCAGAAAACGAACAAAGTATAGTAACTCCTTCGCCCATAGACGGACACAGTAGCCCCTCTTTCACTCCAAGTCCCAGCTTTCCACAAGACCTTCTAGAGCCAAGAGAGAGCCCCTTAGATCCAAACCGCAGTCCTTCCCCTGAGCTTGTGCCTTTTTCTCACAATTTCATTGAATCAGGCTTTGAAACTAGAAACATCCTTTCATCTCCAGTAGTCTCATCTGAGCTCCAAAATAGTTCTGCTTCCCCTCACTCGGGAACAACATCTCCTTTCCTTGAAGGGAGAGGAAGGGTCTCTCTGCCTGATCTCTTAAGCAGAGGCTCCACACCTGACATAAAAGATTGTGCTCACAGTCCAGAACTGATTTCCAGTCCCTTGTCTGCAGGAAGAGACAGCGCAGCCACGCCTGAGAGCCAAAGCACAAGTTTATCAGCTAAAGCTCACAGTACTTCTTCTACGCCTGCCCCTCGATACACCCCCCCCTCCCCTGTAATTTCGATAGCGACATCTCCTGAGTTCGTGGAGGGTGTAGTTTCACCTGAATTAACAAACCCAAGTGCTTCTCCTGTCTTACTCAGTCCTGTATCTCCAGCCACCTTTGGGATTAGAAGCCCCTCTCCTGACCTTTCCACTGAAATAAGGAACAGTTTAACACCTTCAGAGATCAAAAGCCAAGTGTCCTCACCTGCAGTCAGTTATAGTTTATCTCCCTCTCCTGGACTCCGGGAAGACTGCTTTTCTACCGATCAAAGATATACTTCCCCTTCACCTGAAATCAGGATTATAGCATCCTCGCCCGAGATCAGCAGAAAAGAGCAGCCTTCGGAAGTGAAGACAGCTATAGCCTCTCCTACCCCAGAGCCCCAATTTGGTTCTGGGTCACCAAGAAACCTCACCTTGTCCCCTCATATTACAGGAATTTCATATTCTGTTGTTCAACCCGAGGACAGAGATAGTCCCCCGTTTCCTGAGCTCTCTCGTCTCTGCACCACAGAGCAAGACAGGACCCTTATGTCCTCTGAAATCAGCAGAGACAGTATAACCAGCAGTGCAACAGAGTCCCCATGTGAATCACCCAACATAACAGACTTCCCATGCTCTTTATTACAGTCTGAAACTACTCTTTCGCCTCAGCCCAGATACCAAACACCTTCACCTCAGTCTATTAACCTCACGCCCTCACCGGAACCAACCTATCAAACCCTTTCATCTGACGAGCATCAAAGTCCCTTACCTTTGCACGGAAGTAGAAATCCATCACCTGTTGTTTCATTTCCTGGGCAAAGATTCCGCGTTTCCCCAGAAAACCTCTCCACAGAATACATTTTGAATACACAGCCTAATTCTACCGATAGAGAACCACCAGTGGTTGAACCTGATTTCCTTTCTAGTGTCACAGAGACACAGCTCCCCAATCATCTGACAGAAATCGGCGTGTCGCCAACTTTGGAATCGCACAGCAGAGAGATCACAGTTATTACTGAGCCCAAAAACGATTCTCTCACGAAGGGTGTCCACTCTCCCACATTTCTCTTATCTGATAATACTATAGACAACTCACCTTCACAACAAACCACAGAGACAGAAGTAACTTTAAAAGAAGCATACGTTCAGGATAAATCAAGTGACACATCAGTCACAGAAGAAATTCTAGCATTTCACGACCATTTTATTCAGGGGGAAAATACTTTAACTACTTCTCAGAGTAAAATTAAGCCCCCCTCCCCTTATCGTGCAAGCCATAGGGACAAAAGTCAAAGAATTTCCCATATCCATAGGGTTACTTCCAGCCAGCCTGTACAAGCACAGGAAAATCTCCAACCTAAGTCCACTCCTAACTCCACGACTTCTGGTAGTGGCGTTTATTTACTAGCATCAACTTGCACACCTGAACTCTCTAGAAGACAGCCGTTAATCCAAGTTAAACGTGACAACAGAGACAGGTTATCAGAGGGTATGTCCCACCATATAAACAGGAGGCAGACTCCCTCCCCTCCACTTACCAGGTTTACACCTGTCCACATCATAGCCCCTGAGAAACCATACAGACAGTGGCAGAACAGAAGCCGAAGCCCATCTCAAGTTTTAGCATCCTCACAACGTGGTAATTTAAAGAAAGCTGCCACAAATAGGGAAAGCCCCAATGTCGACCCTGCTGACAATAATAGCCAGCCCCACCGGGTCAAGCCAGGAAGGCAATTGGAGATGGAGAGGGAAATTCCACCAGAGCAGAAAAGAGATGTAGGTATGGAGAGGCAAAAGGAGGTGGAGAGAGCGAGAGAGAGGGAGGAGCAGGATCCTGAAAGAGGGGAAGGGTGCCAGGGGGTCGCCAGTTACAGAGGGGAACAGGTTGAGCTGTCATTCAGTGCCAGGAATAGAAAAGGACCTGCGAGTTGCAGTGCAGCTCCCACAGGCAGAGAGAACCAACAGGGACTGCCAACAGCGCATTCCTATTCAGACGGTTTGCTAGCGACACGACAGCCACAGCAACAACAGAGTCTGCTTCGACTTTCTTCTCAACAAGACACCCGGGGTGGAAGTGCCAGCAGACGACTCAAACAACCAACGACCCAAATCAAAAGGAACGCCACTGGACGCGGTGCCACAAACAGGCCCTCTCAGAGTTCCAGCTCCAGCATGGGAAGTGAACTTGATGATGCAGACAATGAAGTGAAGTGGTTTACAGACTTGGCTTTCCGCAGCCTGTCCAGCCCTGAAGTAGATTACCTTGACATGTACAACTCCAGCCATCGTTCTTCAACCAATATTTCACAACCATCCACCCAGGAGAGCCCAGCTGGAATTAATGCAGCCTGGCTGGCCTATGCTGACTTAAGAGGTTCTGCACCAAAGCTTGACCACGATGAGCTCTCCTTTCAGCAACCATGTTCTTACTACCCAGAGGGACTTGATCCATCTAGGCGATATGAGCTGGGCAGCTTTGAATGCATTGATGTTGCACTGGAAAGAGAAGACTCCAAGAAGCTGAAAAAAGGAGTGCCAAAGAGACAGATCCAGCTGAAAAGAAAGAACAATGGTGAAGGGAGGCAGGATGAGAGCAGTGACAATAGCAGCCCCGGGCTACCTGTGTTGAGGGAGAGCCCTTCTCAAGAGAATCACCTAAGAGGGACCTTTCTGAGGCAACATAGCACACCAGCAGCAATGCAAGAATGCTACCCCTCTGAGACCAACAACCAAAAGAAAAGACAGTCTAAACTCCAGAAATCTGCTTCTATGGATGAAACATGCTCTAAAACCAAGATGGCTTCATGCCTCATCAAGAGTGTGTTGTCTAAGAAGATGCAAGGTGTTGACAGACAAACTGATGAGGCAGCAGGTGACGAGGGGAGCCCACCAACGGAGAACATGTTGGTACCACTTAAAGAGTCACCAAAACCAGACCCATATATTCTTAGTTCAAGTCTTCAGTCAGATTATAGCCTGTCGTCCGAGGGTTTTGCTGTAAGAGGGGAGCCAGGCACAAAGGATGATGCCAAATCACCCAAAACCGTTGGATTAAGAACCGGGAACAGGCCAAGCTCATCCAGCAGCATCAGAAGTGTAACATTTTCCCAAACTGACAGTGAAGATGCGGATTCTCAAGTCAGGAATGCAACATTGTCAGGATCAGAGGTAAAATCGGAATTAAAAGTGCCTTTTGATAGTAAACAGTCTAGAACTGTATTGCAGCATGCCAAAACACATAAAAGGGAGGGAGGCGAGACGGCAAATACCAAATCTTCTGCCAGTGGAACCAGGAACACACGGGCCAGAGTGACAAACAGAGACCAGGAATGTGAAAACACAGAGGACCACAAACAACTGCTGCAAGGTGACCAGGCTGCCTACACTTCCAAAACCCAAGAGATTACACTTAAACCCATGGAGAAAAAGACAGCATCCCTCAATGTCTGTCTGACACCTGAGGCAGAAATAAAATCCGGGGCTTTTTCACCAGATGTCTCTGACAGAGAAAAGGAAGCAAAGACTGGCACTGACACGGATGAGAAAGCAGAGGAAGAGGGACCTGAGAATGACAAAGTTAAGGTCCCAATTCACAAAGTTAGAGATGTGAGGCGGCTTGTAAAAAATACGTACAATCTTTCCTTCAAGGCAGCTGGTGCTGTAATGCCATCAAATGTGAATGAGGAAAGAGTGGAAAGTTTTAATGAGGACAAAAGGGATGAGCCCACAGTAAAGGAGGAGATGGACGTGATACAGGAGATCAGGAGGGAGGGAGAGAGAGTGGACAGAGAGACAGCAAACCAGACAGAAGAGAAATATGAAAAGAAAGTGGAGAGAAAAGATTCAAAGACCTTATCTTCTACAGCTAAGGGCAATGGGAATTTTCAGTCTGGTTTACAACCAATGCAAATAGAATACAAGGCTGTTTGCTGGAAAAATGACAAGAATAAAATGTCAACTGTTAGGAAAGACTTGGGTGAGAAACCCCAAGCCTCTTGGAAATCTCTCACAGAGGTGAACGATGAATCTCAGCCTGTGAATGCAAATGTGTCAGATAACAAAGCTGGTACCATGACTCAGAACCTTTCTGACCATGCCACAAACATTTCAGCAGAAACAAAAGAGATTGCGACAGAAATCCATAAAGTGTCAGAGAGTGAAGACAAACCTGTGGTGACTAGAACAGACAGAAAACCCCCCATGCTCGGGGGCCTCCCTAAACAGCCCAGTAAGGAAAGAGAGGTGTCCACGGCTGTGGTGTTAATAAGAGAAAGACCAAACAAAACTAATATATCTTCAGTCTCAGACCAGGAGGCAATCCCCACCCCAAGCCAAGCTCCAGCTTCACTTTCACCAGGGCCCTCTACCACCAGTGGCCACTCAGTTTCAATGTTGTTAAAGGAAAAAGGCTACCAAGCTGACATTGGAGCAGTTGTGGGCAATACACAGAACACAGCTGCAGGTAAAGGAGTTCCCCGGAAGCATGTGAACTCTCTGGAGATCCCCCTTCAGACCACTCCTCCTTCAGAGGGAGCTTTGGATGAGTCTCACAGAGAGACACTCTCTTCCTTGTCCAACTTTTCAGGCCCCTCTGGAGAAACTGTAAATACAGACATCCTAACAAAACCCAAGACAGATGAAGGAGTTAGCATGAAGCTTTCAGGAAAAGACAACACAAAGCAGAAAAGGAATGCGCAGGATGAAACACCTCCTGTCCCCAAACAGAAAGACGTCGATTTTGAAGCTGTGAAAAGGCAAGATCCGACTTTTCCCCCAAGGTCCCCAGCAATAAGGAGATTCAAACCACAGCCAATAGAGGTCAAGTCATTGTCAAAAGAACCTGTGAAGCAAGAGCTGTCCACAGACACCACAGGAAGCCACAGGCCTCAGGCTATTGAAGTGAGATCGATAGCTAAAAATGCTCAAAAGCCAGCTGTGCCTCCAAAGCCAAGTTGCAAATTTAAGACAGCAGATTTGGAATCAGTGTCAAATGAAGCACAGAGAGCTGCAACGTCTTCAACTGGAAAGCCACAAGGTGAAGAGAGGCCTCAAACAATTGTAGTGAGCTCCCCCACCATCTACAGGAAGATTCCCAGTGAGTCTGCACCTGTTTCAAACTATTCAAGAAAACTGGCTGTGTCTGCAGTATCCAGCCTCAAACCTCCACCTCACAAAACAACCAACGCCACAGCCTCCAGCGTCTCAGACCAGCCAGCAGCATCATCAGACACAGAGCCATCTAGAGACAGAGCACAGCAGCCACAGCCTCCTGCTTCTCCTCAGAGCTCCACACATGCACAGAACCCTCTGTCCCTCCCTACATCATCAGTCACTGGATTGGAAGAAACCTCAGCTTCAGATTTGGTTGTTGGCACCAAACCAAATCAAATCCCTGGGCCCCCCCAGGTAGCCAGGCAGCCGGCTTTTGTGGATCACGATATCCAAATGCAATATCCCGGGGCAACGTATCCCCATGAGCAAACTATGCCTTTTCCTTCAAACAATGCTAAACAACCCACCATATCCCCATCAAAAGTACAGAGATACGCAAATCAGCCTTTCTACAGGTCTCTCTCCAATGAGCGTGGTCAAAGAACAGATGACCTGCATTTTTATGCTTCAGATGACCCACCTAGCTATGATGAAAGGGAGAGCTTCAGTCCACTTTTACTCCCGGATTTGACTCCTACGAGGCAAAATCGTCATCAATCCACATCCCGCCCTCCTCCCTGCTCCTGCACAGCTGGCTACCCCTCTCACTCTGTTCCTGTCCCTCCTCACCATCATCGCAGCCCCCATAACCTCACCCCGCCTGCTCCAACACACTCTCCAGGTCACGCGCTACCTTACCCCATGACTCAGGCCCCTCTTCGTTCCCATCAGTGCAGACCTGAACCTCAGCCCATGACCTACCAGCCAGGATCTCCCAAATCAAGCCCACTGGGTCCAAACCAGCCCCCCTCCGTGTATCAGCCTCTCCATCACTCCGCTCCCTGCCCTCCCCACTCTTCAATCATGCAAACTTGCTCTGCTGAACGGCCATTGCAGCCCAGCCAGCACATAGACCCTCGAAGGCCCCCCATGCACAGATCTCCGCATCAGCAGCCACAGAACATTGCCGGGCCTCCTTACAGTGATACTGGCCACAGCCACTCTCCTGGTCTTCCCCCTATGGATCCTCAGTACATGTGTGGACCTCAAAGTATGGGGCCTTCCTATGGTTCTGAATACGGGGGGGACAGCGCCAGTCTGTACTCAGAGAGCAGCTATGGACAGACACCACGCCGAGTCCTCCTCGATCCTGAAACAGGAAAGTATTTTTATATCGAAGTGCCTGTACAGCCTCTGAGGAAAATGTTGTTTGACCCAGAGACCGGCCAATATGTAGAGGTGCTCATCCCACAGCAAGCCATGTCACATTCAGGCCTGTATCCCCCTTCAGCCGCCCCCTTCCCGCCTCTCCACAACCCCAACATGTATGCCTCCGCTCCACAGTACATGCCCTGTGCGGCCCCCCCTCCCTTAGCCCACCCTCAGGCACAGTCTCAGCCACCTCGATACCCTGAGGTCTCTGCTGCAGCAGCAATACACCCAAGTGGGCCTGGGGTCAGCTACAGGAATCCAGCAGGTCAGGGGTCCAAACCAGAGCCCCAAAATCACCCAGCGTTGGACCACGGCTACCTGGAGAGTATGTATTACGTCCCAACAGGGATGAATGCGAGCCCAAATCCCACCCCACCTGACTATTACCACAAACATCCTCCTAACTTACCCCCAATAGGGGGGAAAAGGTCTTGAAATAGAGAGTGGAGGCCGCCATCCTGGAGCCTGTTGGGTTTAAAATACACTATGTATAAAGGGGTTACTAATTGTGGACTGTAATGTTATTTGAGTTTTAACATTGCAACCGAAGACAGCAATTCTTTGGTTGTTGTGTATTTGTTGCTGATATTTTCTGGACTGCTTTGACTAAATTATTCTTCTATTCTAACAGCACTGAAAATTCAAACAAGTGGGTTTTTTATGAGGTGTTCTTAAGACTATTGCCTATCACTTTTTCTATCTAGGGTACTGTGTTGTCTACAGTAATGCACAGGCACTTCATATCTGCAGGTTTACTGATTTAATTGTGCGTATCTTCCCAGCAAACAGCAAACCAAAAAACTTGAAGTTACTCTTTTGAAAAACCTCATATTTATTGTAATATTGTAATTATCTGACAATGGATGTGTGAGTTTCTGCACATAGGCAACACAATGTAACAATGCCAATAAAGTTATAAATAAGCATTTCTTCTTTCCCCTGGCTTTTTTATTATATTTCATTCATTAATTTTGGGTAATTACCAGTATAGTTTTACATCCATATAATGTGAAAGCTAATGTTGTCAGGTAAGATGTTTTAAAGCTACTGACTTATGAAAACCATTGCTCAGACTGGACATGTAACCATATATATCTATGTATCTATTACACATAAATACTTTACACGTGTGAAATTATGAAAATAATCAAAATATCTTTTTTACTATCACATCATAGGCCGACGGAGAGATCTCGTCATTGGAGGCAACAGTGTAACGTGGGGGTATGTGCAGATGCTGCTCCCACTGCTGTTATTTGGTATCTATATATATCAGTATATCCTTCGGATGCAAATAATTGCTGCAATATAGAGTATAGACTGTATTAAACCGTGGGATCATTCGACCTGCATATACATTTAAAGCAAAAGCTTCAAACAGAGATCATAAAAATGATCTGTGCAAAATTATCATCATTACAGCACATATAATTTAGAAGGGATACTATTCAAGCAGATCAGTATTATTGTTGATGGTCCTTGCGAAATGGGTGCCATGTAAGAGATCATCTTCAGCTAAACCTTTGTAAAAATAGCTAACTGTATTTTTACCTCTAGAGGGCACCATGCAACAGCGTTTACAGACTCACATGACTCAGTGATTGGTCTCTTGTTTGTATGTGATATTTATTGTGCTGTATCGAGGTCAAAAGGATGTTATTGTATAATAATTGTTTAAGCATCAATATTAAGACAATTTCTTCTGAGATCACAAAGATTTTTAAGGAGAAAACTGACTCAAAGCAGTGTTCCCTACATGCAGGATGTACCGCTATGACCACTGGAGGGAGGCACAGATCACAGCTGAAACAGAGGTTTCCAACAACCATTTACCTTTCATAAAAGGGAATAGACATGGTGGGATAGTTTTATAAGATCCTGTCCATGTCAGCTGCTTAAAGAATGTCCACTGCTCAGTTTGATAACCCTAATCCTAATGAGATTTGAAGAGATTTGGTGTGATTTTGAATGTTTGTCCCCTTTTAAAAAGAAAGTCTACGGTAAAGTCTACATTACCGTGTTGAGGTTTTATACAATCAGTAAAAGATAGTGAGTGACAAACAGAGTTTAAGGATCAAGTTCTAAACATTTTTTCTTCTGGCCTTTAAAATTTGCTATCAGATCCACTAATGTTTAGGCATCAGTAATACCAAAACCTGTCAAAACCTCCTGTCATGTTTCCATGACTAGAAAGAGTGTGGCTTTATCTTTAGAGTCTACTTTAAGGACCCTGAGCCTGTCTAATTATGGTAAGTAATAAAAGGTATCTGCAAGGCTCATCAGTTGGACACGTAGTCATTGCATAGCGATGTTAAAAATGTCAATCATTAACAGAAGACAAACATCTTATGATTTAGCCTGAGTGTTCATGAAATATTCAGGTTTATCGAACCTGCATTCTTTCAACCTGGATTACCACCAGAGTCACACCTTGGAAACACAAACTTAATTGTGTAAACTTCCGGACACGCCTTGACAAAATTATTATCGGCCAAACACACATACGAGCCTCGGGTCTGGCCCAGTAGTAAGCTTCATTGAGTTACCCAACTTCTCAGAGTCTGCCCAAATCTTCTGTGAAACAACCCGCTCTCCAACATTTTTTAGATGATCCATTGACTGTCTTATGTAAAGCCAAGTGAGGCTTAACATAAGAAGTTCTATAACACCTCAGCTCCTCCATACCATTGATATGACACAATTAACAGTGTCCAGACACATCTTCAGAATAATGTTTAACTGCTGTAAATTCCAATCATACACACAAAACAGACACTATGACTTCATTAGCCTGGGTTGTGGGCTATTTCCAGAGCGTTTGTTATTGTTAAGGTTTTTTGACCACTTCTCTGCCTTGCAGTGTGTCCACACACAGGCGCACACACACACACACACACGCTCTGCAGGAGTCTCATCATCTTCGGCACACCCAGGAGTGTGTGGGTGAATCTGACCCTGGAGCCACGTTTGATGTGGACCCACAGGACGGCTGACTGGTCACTGGAAAAGTCCTCTCTGCATTGTCTGATATCAGGAATGTAGAGAAAAAGGAGTGGGTGGCATGGGCCTGGTAGCTGGATAAGGGACAGAGTTGAAAGTGATGATGTGTTGTTTGGAAATGTGCTTCCTGACATTTTCCAGTGAGCGCTCCCTTTCTGTACAGTTGGAGATGATTTGTCACTCGTTTGTAAGACAAAGATTCACACTAACTGTGACCGCGCTCTTTATTTGGATGAATTTGAATGAAAAAGAGCAGCTTTTGTCAGCCCCTAACCTGCTGTGATGTATCGATCAAAGGGAAGAAATTAGGTCACAGGTTTATGTCCGGTTCCTGGACAACGTCATTATGATCAAAGCTGAGACCACCAGTGGCCAGATTTCCTGTTTTTTAAGAATGAACATGGACAAGAATCTCTGGTGGACATTGTTGAATGCAACCATGTGATTTCTAGAAGAGCGCAATTGTTGCTCATTGCTGTCCTTTTAGTCTATTCTTTTCTTACATCTACCTCCAACAGCCTTTTCCCTCGGCTCTGTGTTTGAAATATTTACACCTCTTTGTCTCTCTCTAGACAAACTTTACCATATAACATGGAGAAGTTTTGTCATGGCAACAGCAGAGTTGATTCACCTGCCCAATCACTCACATGCCCATGAAAGGTTGTCCTCCCGGCGGAAATGGGCGGCTCCAGTTACTGCAAGGGCGTTTTTTATGACCACGTGGCGACTGGGACAGCCCGTGAGTGAATGAGGCAAAGCGAGAGCAGATAAGAGAAAGGAGGGCTATTTGAGATGGTAGGGGACACCCGAATCTGTGCCTTCCAGCGTTCAGCCCGTTGCCTGGCAGCCGCAGGCCACAACAATGACTCGGGGCTGTAAAGGTTCTCCTCGCCTTTGTGCACCCACGTGTGTCACACGCACTTCCTTCCCTCCACCAGGTGGTGTACCTACCTGTCATCTCCCATGACTGTAGGGGCCCAAACTCATAATGCAGCTGACCCCAGGCAGATTCAATCAAGTTGAGTATGACTCATGTGCACATAACCACCACATTTGTTTTAGTGTAACTGTTGTTGGCAATGAGCTAGATCACATGAGATATGTAAAACGTCTGCTTTTCTTTCGGCCATAAGAGTCAAATCATAAGAAAGTGTTTTAAAGAAATGCTCCGAAAGTGTTTTTCATTCATAGTGGAAATTATGAGTCTAGACTAGTCTAGTCAATTTCTTTTCCCAGGACCTCTCATGTCCAGGAAGGAAATTGTTACTTGTTGAGAGACTTTAACCCAGACACAAAGACATACACATACACACTAAAGCACATGCACTGTGCCATTTTGAGAATGAAGTATAGCTAAACGGTGATATCATAGCCTGATCACTTTAACTGGCCTCTTTCCTCCCTTCCACCGAGGACCTGGATGGCAGATCAATGAGGTATGGAAGGAATGAGAGTACAGGGCCTGAGCACATCAACATGTAAGTGGCTGTTGAGAACAAGAGAGACATGAGTTATTGGCAGGATCACGCTCTTTGCTGCCTCCATCCTGAATCACACAGAGCTGATGACATGTCTGAATTCTTATTGATACCATGCCATGTCAGCTATTCGCCTCATATTGTGACAGACAGCTCTCAAGGGCTGAAGCCAGATGCAGAGGGCTCTGGGAAATAAGAACATGACGGAATCCCCTGGGAACCGGCCTTCACAAGTTCATTATGGATTGGTGTGCGTGGGTCGCTGTATTTCTTGAGTGTGAGGTAAAAGCAGTGAGTCAGTTCAGGGTAGTCCCCGGCCTCACAGAGTGGACATTAGACATTTGATAATACAGCTATTAGAGTTACAGTGAGAAACGTTATTGAATTAAAATAAATAAAGTCTGTTCTTTTTCATGGCAGAAAACAGCAGTGTTTATGTCTCAGTCGTCTCGCTCCAGAGTCTGTGTCAGAGGTTGTGTCATTAAAAGTGCTGAATCTAAAAAGCCATTTTAACAGCCAGCGTTGGGCCTTAGAAGACGTTGGATCCTAGAGTCAGCTGTGCATTGATACCACAGGTGTCAAACAGTTGGCCCGTGGATAAGCACAGGCAGTGAGAATAGTTGGTCAAGTGTTATCACACAAATAAAAACTGAAAGGTAAATGTCACTGTTGCCCTTTGTACAGAGTTGCCTATTAAATGGGCCAAAGTTGAAAAGTTCCGGCAGCAGTTCATGACTCCAGTTCTGTAACAAAAAAAAGGCTTTGTTCCAAATTTAGACTGAGCAAACACAAAAAGCCTGAACCACAGTTTTACCAGCCTGACTGGAATGGCGGCTCGTTTGAGATTAAAAGGAGACATGAACTCATTTCTGAAAAAAAACATGTGAGGTAATATATTGAAAGATGCAAAAAGGAAAAGGAAAGCTGTGGGATAATTTCTCTAATTTTCTCATTAAA